GAGGGCAGGGGTACTAGTTGTAGTGGCTGGTGGGGTGGGGAAATTAAAAATTAAGAAAGGGATTTTGCAGTGGGTGGAGATGGAGCAAGCGGAGAGGGTACTGGAGAGAGAATAGGGTGCCCCAGGGGAAGGTGGGATATTCTTGCCTCTTCCTGCTGTCTGCCAGGTCTGGATTGTAAAGCTGGCCGATTACTAAGGTGTTTGTTGTATCTGGATTTGGGATGTGTGTGGAATTGTCTTTTGGGGTGCTCTTTTTCTGTGGGACAAAGGGATTCTTCTCCGTTTGCTACAAATTTCGCAAAGCATCCGTTCGTAATACAGCGTTGAAAAAATTATAGGCATTGTATCTTCCCTGGGAACCTCCTGCTTTCAGCGGGGTGGTGGTGGTGGAAATCCCTGCTTTCTCCTCCTCCCACCCACATGCGCATTCCTTAGTTGAGAGAACTGTGGCGTTTTAGGGGCTTGCATCCTCTGTCTCTGAGCTATAAAAAATTCCAAAAAAGAAATCGAAAGGCATAGAAAGGTGAATTCTAAATGAAAGTTATTTATATTATGTGCGAACTGTGATTCATGATGACTGTTCTTAGCTTGAGGGATCCCAGATTTTATTTTTTTGCTTCCCCTTCCTTATATTGTTCCACTTATTTCTCAAAAATAGTTGGTAACTGTTCAGATTATTATGTTTAATGATATATTGACAATAGAAAATAAATCTAGACTTTAAAAGAAGACACTTGCAAAGGGAGCATAATTTTATTTATTTGTGCAGTATTTTCTGGTTCTTGAATTAAGAATTCTAGTCAGGTAATTCTTATGATATTCTGTTTGAATGTAACTGGATGAAACATAGACAGTGAATTTACAGCTAATGCTTCGTGCTTGCTTTTATGCTTTATCAGTATCTTGCTATTATATGCCTAGTGACACAATGCAGTTGACTTTATTATTGGAGTACATTACACTGATGGAGCCATTTCTCCCTTGGAGAGCAAGGTGAAAGCCGTCCATGCCCGACTGTCGCTGTATGACACACAAAGGAAAGCTAAACGCTTCTATCTTTTTTAGGTTTGTTTTTATTTATCCATTAGTTCTCATGCAGTGTGTGCTGAGAGACATTACTGTAGAGCTGTATATGCACAATATTCACTCCTGTGCCATAAAGCTTTAAAAATTACATAGATCTGGTGCATCTTTTTGCATCAGTACAAAAAAACTATGATTCTTACAGCAAGTGTCTGTCTGATGGTCTCATACTAGTGTGTCTTAAGGAAATGGAAATGTTAAATACATGTTTCGATACCTTATTAATTTGCTACCGTTGAAGCAAAACTTGTAGGCCGTGTTCACCCAATGGCTGACTGGTGACGTTTCAGCCATTTCGTTGGTGAATTAAGCTATCAAAAGTATGCAAATCTGAAAGGAGCCAAGAGGTTCTTAATTTTCTATTTGAAATGTGTTGGAATTTTACCTATTCGGATTCTTGGATATTATCAGCCATGTTTAAGTGAAAATTGTTGTTTTAAACACAATTTCAGACGAGGCATTTTCATGCTTTAAGGATCTGTTAATTTCAGGCTGCTTGGGATCACTGTTTACATTTTTGTTTGTTTTTCATATACAATGGTAGAGTCCTAATCTGACTACAAGATCCTGAGAAATAGATGGCAAATTCATCTGCATTAATGAGTACTAATAATTCTAATAATTCTCTAATAATTCTAAATACATTATGCTTTGGGAGTGAGGAAAGAGGGAAGACAGAAGCTGGAGTTGAAGAGAAACTGTCTTTAATATGTGGAGTGTAGAATGAAAAAATGTTTATTTTTCTTGAGGTCATTCCTGTGCTCTAAGGTTTATGATTTAAGGTTGTGCCCTGTGGTGCTCTAAGTACTTTGAAGAAACTTGTCATAACGCTAGTTCTGGCTGTGTGGAATCTGCATTGTGGATAATGCAGAGAGTTTGGGGAGATTTTCAGTCAAATAAGTTTTCATAAGCATAAATGAATATTTTTCTTTCCTCCCTCCTTTGTTTCATTTTAGTTATTGTTCACAGCCTTTAAATGAAAGGGAAGATGCTGCAACTTGGTTTGAGACTCTTTTTCTGCTAATTTTTTGATACTTTATGTTGATAAATTATAGGCTGTAGATGGCAAAGTGCTGGAAAGCCAAAGTCGAGATTTCCTAACTTCACAAGGTAGTTGTGTGTTTTATCTAACTGTCTTCTATCAGTGAATATCTGGAAAAAGTTAAGGCTTTGTGATATCTTTTGTCTTTTAACAGATCTCATCTCTGTGTTGATTATATCCAAAAGGTATAAATAATCTTTCAGTCTTTCATAAACGCCAAGAAGTCTGTCTTCTGATGAGTTAGTATGCTTTGTTTTGTAACTCGGTTGCAGTAAGTTAACGCGGTTTCTGGCTGAGGGAGCACGGTCATCAACCGAACTTTGGTTACGAAGTCTAATTTGCAAGTTACACTATTAGGGAGGTAGTAATTATCGGCAGTGATGCTGCTAATCGTCTTATATCTTCTCTTTGTAAACTTTGTGGGAGATTTTATTTGTGTTTAAGGCATTTTGATAGTAAATGTTAATGGAAGCCTAAGTGGATTACTTAACCAATTCTGTTTTTAGTTAAATGTAAGATTTGTTGACAGGAAAGTGGACATAATTTAAGATCAGAAAATCGTTCTGCAAATCTTTTCTGTCCATGAAGATGACTTACGTTATTACTATTGTAAGTGTTTTGTTATAATTAGCCATATTTCCCTCTTTCATTCAAATTGTTTTCTTTTTTAAAATATTGTTGATGTTAATGTAGGCAAAGTATTTCAATCTGGGTATGTTTGCAAAGGAAACAGGTTGACAGGACTTTCATACAAAGCTTCTATTACACATACAATTGAATGCTCTAGTATTCTCCCCAAAGCATGCAAAACAGTTTCCGCTAGCGTTTTCACTGCTTTCCCATCCTGTCAAACGCTTAGGCATTGGAATTCCTTTAAGATAATTTTAATAAGCTACCTGCTTTTCATTCACAATTTGATCTTGAGCCGTATAGGTCCTCCTTGTTTTGCTTTGCCACTTGCATTTTTCGTTCATGCCAAGAAACCTACCCTGGCGGATGGGACTGAAACTGGGAGGAAAGATTTCGTAGTTGGGGCGTGCTCCTCTGGAGCTGTCCAGCAGGGCCCAGGGCACCCTGGCTTCTTCGGCAGCTCCTGCAGTGGCCGTCTTCCCTCAGGTTTACTTGCCTGTTTCACAGCTGACTGACTGGGTAGGTGACTGACTGGCACTACAGAGGGATGGTCTGTTCTTAGGAAGATATGGTTCTTCTGTCTCCCTCTGCTCGTCTGAGGAAATAAATTTCCAAAGACTAGCTTTGTGTTCCGTTTGGCAAGTCCTTTCATTTTCATGATGTGACCCTAAACTTGCAAACAGATGGCACAAAGGAGTGCGGTGGACCAGTCTACAGTCTCAGGAAATAGTTGTATGACCACCTGTGCTGTAAGACAGATGGATTGTGTCAAAAATACATAGATGGAGGTATGAGGAACTTGTCTAACCCTGAAGACCAAAGTGAAGTGTTTTAACATGGAAAAAAAAATTACTTTATTTGTACTGCAATAATAAAAATCAGTAGAACTAAGCAATTTTAGTTCAGAAGTGTCCATGTAAATACTTTGCAGATTTAGTTCTTTAGCTACCTGTACTGGCCAATAAAGCGCTTCTAAACATTCGGGAATATTTAGTGACTTTCTAGACTCTTGCAGAACAAAAGACTTTGAGGGGGAAAAAAGGGAGTAGAGGAGTGATCTTGGTACATGGGATCTGCATATGGTATCCTCAAGTTGCCAACCTTTATAATCTCTCAGAAGCTCTACGTTAACTCTCACCGTTGTGTTAGCATGTTTTTTGTTATAATGGTTTTGTTACTTTGTCAACCACTATGTGTTGATGTTGGTTGGTTAACTAGTGACTATTTTTTAATCTTGAAAGATAGGAATTTGAACACTAGCATATTTTAAGATTTACTTAGAAATTCAGTTAATGTGTTTTTTTAATCCATAAAAATAGCTGAGGCACAGTAGTTACAAAGTTTGTGTGTGTGTATATAAATTACATACACACGTGTGTGTGTGTGTGTGTATACTTTTATATATATATATATATATATATATAAAAGCTTCAGACATACTTTGTTTCCTTTCAGTTTAAACTGATATAAAAGAATTAAATTCCAAAAGAAAAGTTCCTTGAAACATTAAGTATTTTACTAAAGTGGCAGTAGCTATCAAAAAACATAATGGACTTTTTAGGTGCAGAATAATTGAAAAAGTAATAACTATTGATTTTAGGTTGCAGAGTGTTTTTTTTTTAATTCATTGTTAAGGTGTAGGTTTTTCTTGGGTTAGAGCGAATAAGATTGCTTTAGCATATGTCCAGATTTCTTATATCCTGGCAACTTCTCCTTACTGTACTTACATTTTAATGCAATACAGATTACAAGGTACCTTCTTAAAATCCTATTCTGCCTTCTTCAGTAACACTGAAACATTTTCATTTCCAGCATGGTGGAGCGCCAATTGTAAAATTGCAGTACATTTTTCATACAGGTGTAAGTTTTGAATTATCTTGTACATGTATTGGTTGAAGAAAATTCAAGGCATGTGGCACACAGTAGTATAGTAGTACCCACACAAACAGGACAAGTGCTCTTGGCCCAACTTGTCTTACAGTAGCACATTTTCTGTTTGTTTCATTTATAATCTCCTTAAGTATTTTGTAATGAGAATAGAGTTTTTTGGTGGAAGTTTTTTTTTTCAAATATTCTTCAGATCCAAGATCTAAAGATTTTGGTGGAGGAAATATAAAAACTCAATGGCTTATAGTTACCTCTTACCATAGCAGTGTTAGCCAGCTCATTTTTTGATGACATGATATACATATATAGAGAGAGTTCTATTTTAACAATTTAAATAGCAGCAAAAAAGGGGCAGTCATGAGTATGCTTCTGTTAACTTGTGTTTTTATGATGGTAATGATCTGATGACTTCTGGTGACTTCTAGGAGATGAATTATGGAGGAAAATAGTTCTTTAGACTTGATTGTAAAGACATGCAATATACAATAGCACTGGGGAGACAGTGATAGAAGAAAAAAACCAAAAAATCCAATTGCACCCTCCGCCCCCACCGCTTATTTTCGGGTCTTCTCTTTTCACTGTGAGAGTAGGGATGCCACTACCTTGATTTATTCTTTGCATTGAAGCATTGCTGGATGATTTAGCAACATAAGTAGTTTCGTTCTAACCATTTCCTTATTCTGAGTAATACGCAGTATATTTATATATCTGTAAAGAATCAGATTTTAACTGTTTGAACTAGGAATACTACTGTATACTATCCCACTTTTTCTTTTGTGACATGAGACTTCAAAATCCTTACTTGGTTTCATCTGTAGTGTATTACAGTTGTGTTATGCAGTAACTGTAGATATTCTGGAATATTTATTGCAACTGTCGTAGGACAGTTCCTAGAAGAAGGGAGTATGTAGGACCTATATGTTGATGATAATTTGCAACGAGGGTGGGAAAAGTTCAAACTTGAGTAATCTATTACTGTAGCCACATATAAAGTTACAAAAAGTAGACTTGCATAGGTTTTCTGTTTGTTTCTTTTTCCCCTTTTGTGTCTTTAAATTTTCGGTTGTATTTCAAATGAAAATATTCTTTTCTCTTCCATCTGTCATTACATATTTTATATCTTAGCAGGATTTTCTGATAGTAATATCTTAGCAATTTTATTCATGTCTCAGAAATATTTTGTAGTTTTTGAGTCACAGTTTTAGAGCCCAGCGTGTAATATATATGTGGGCCTTTGCCTGGGTTAGGCCAGTCATTAAAGAGTTTTCTTTATGAATCTGCTTTTAATGGCATGAGAATTTAGGAATGCTTGCTGTGGAAAACATAATTTAGGTGTAAAGATGCCTGTAGAGAGGAGGAGGACTTTGGATGTTTAACTCCAAACATTTTTGTGGGTAGTTAGTGGTGACTCTGTCTGTAATAA